CGAAAGTGTTAGAGTCACCACTTTTGGACCACCAAAACTCCACCGTCCGGCCACCTTGGCCGCTAGACCGATATACCACCTTAAAGCCTTCACTTCCCTCTTCGCAACCCACCCAAGCTCCGGCCATAACACCAACTGATGCAGTCGAAAATTCAAGCCAAAATGGGCAGCTGGAAGCACAAAAAATGGTCGGAATCTTCATTTTTTAATGTTCCAGGCTGCCCATTTTGGCTTGGATTTTCGACTGCATCGGTTGGTGTTATGGTCGGAGCTTGGTTGGGTTGCGAAGAGGGAAGTGAGGGCTTCAAAGTGATATGTAGGTCCGACGGCCAAGGTGGCCGAAGGGTAGAGTTTTGGTGGTCCAAAATTGGTGACTCTAACACTTCCGACTATTTTTCGTGCTTGATCATCCCATTTTGGCCTGAATTTTCGACCAAATCGCTAGGTGTATGGCCGGAGCTTAGGTGGGTTGTGAAGAGGGAAGCAAGGGCTTCAAGGTGGTATGTCGGTCCAGTGGCCAAGGTGCCCAGAGGGTGGATTTTGGTGGTCCATAAGTGGTGGCTCTAAGGTGGTTTAGGGGTTGGAAAGTTCAGTGACTTTTGAGAAACTTTTTGCAAAGTTCAGTGACCATTCAGTGACGTCTGAGAAATATTTTGCAAAGTTTAGTGACCATTTAGGTGATTTTTAAAGTTCAGTGACCCTTTGATAACCTTTTACAAAGTTCAGTGACTGTTGACATAATTAAGCCACAATACCTCTATGAGTATATCTTATCTATATACGATATAATGCTTACAACATGCATATAGAAATACGAAATTAATACCCCCTTACCTTCAGGTCCTCACTACTTCCTCCTTACCTTCCTGCCTCTATCAATAAATGTAAACTGTAAAGAATTAACTTCATTCATCTGAATAGACTGAATTTCATAATACTTAAAACATCATCTTCACACTTCTCTCTCCTCTCTCTCTGAAAGTATACTTCTGCGTTTCATATTTAGAGTTTGTATGACAGTAGAGTGTGATTAACAGTTTGAGTGGTGATGATGATGAAAAGTGAAGACAAGAACAAGTCCATAACTGAGATGGATGAAAGAGAAGTTTCAATTTCTATTTCTGAGGTAAATATTTGCTCTTTCTTCATTTTGTTTATGCCAGATGAATCATTGATTTCTTGTGGAAAATCTACAAAAAAAATAAAAAATAAAAAATTAATATTATTACTTGTTATGATTTGAAGCAGGTTGTCTGTCTTTGATCAGTCGGTTCTAATTTGTTTATTTACTTGGTTTTGCGGTTTCTTTTTTGCTCTATTTATGAATTTTAACTGCCATGGATCAATTTACCATCTCTTGAATACTCCATCTATGGTAATTTGGTGTCTAGACATGATATTGTTGAAAATTTTAGCTCATTTACTACTTTATTACTTCTCTTGACTAAATTTTGAGCCGAAATTGAACTGCCTCCTCTAAAAGTGGTTGGTTCACGCAATATCTGAGGCACGTCAAGGTTGAACCAAGTCATCTAAAAGCTTAGATGACAAATTGGCTTTGTTCTTTGTCATTTTCAAGAATTCGGGTAGAAAGGAGAGTCTTGTTTGACACATTTAGTCCTGCTTCACATGGGAAAAGGCATCTTCTGATGCTTGATTTCTGACCTTCACAAAAATCTCATCTTTTTTTCTTTTTTTTTAATGGGGAATCTCTGCATTAAAGAATTAACTTCTGCATTTATTTTGAAAGGATCAGATGGAAAATTAGTTTAGCTCTCATCTGTTTATTGGCAGTTATCATATAATATATTGTATTTGGAAATGGAAATGCTAATAATTATTGTCATCGCTTCGCAAACAACATTTCCAGTCTCTCTGTACTTTAAGGGGAAAAATTCATATTCATTCAGACTGTGCGAGTTTGACACCACGCAGATGATGATGTACTTTACAACTTGAATAACTAACCAATTTCTATCCATTTTCAGGAAGAGAAATCCTCTGGGACGACTGGAGAAACATCAAACGCTAAACATTGGAAGAAACCGAACCTTTTCTTGGAGATACCTAGCAGAACATTGGAGGTATCCCATCAAGAGTTTGTTCAAATAAAGATGCCTCCGACTCCCACTCCCACTCCCAAAAGAGTGAATTTCCTTTTAACTCCTAGCCCTTCTGATGCAAAAGTAACTGTAAGTGGATCTCCTCATCCTTCCTCGTCCAAAGCCAAACCATCCATCAAGAATTTGCTGCCAAGACTAAGCTTCAAGTACCGGAGTTCTAATTCTGATGCAGAAAAGACTGCCAACCTTGATTCAGGTTCATCAACTACCAGGACGCAAGAGAATCCTTCCATATCAAGGTCATGGTCACTAACAAAAATTTTTACGCCTCGCATGAAAAGGACAACATCCTTACCTGTGACCCCGATTGCACATTCAAATCCAGAATCTGTCCGTGATGGAATTATAAACAGTTCTGTAGCCCTTGACGTAAGTTCTTTAATCCTTGACGTAATTATTTGGGAAAAAACTGTTATGAGGATTTGAATCGAACACCATAACATATTTGGCACTTGATTTTGGCATGCTTTCATAGCAAGTGGAATGAATACGACCATGTAAAAGGCCTCCAGCTTCTAATTTCTGAAAAAGGAAAAAAAGGCTACTAAACTAATCTTATAGTTATACTCGTTAGTTTGCCATTCTAAATAGGTTGATACATCTAATTCTGAAATTTTTTAACTACAAAATGTATAAATTTCCTTGTTTTCACGAAAAGATGGTAAATGGAGAGGTAGTATAACTAGATAATTGGTAAATGCAGACATTAATGTGAGCCAAAACATTCAACAGTAAAATCTTGAGGATACTTGATAACTGTTATGTTTCCTTTTTTCGTTTCTTTTCAAGTTTCATATAGCTAACTAGTCCAGTTTGTTGGGTTCACAAATTAAAATGATCATATTGATGACTGTTTCTTGTAGACAAAAGTTGCTCAGCGGCAGATCTCCAGGTCACTTTCTGTCCCAGACCTCAACAAAGGCAAAGGCATTCGAAAACTTGATTCCTTCTTTCGTGTCATTCCCTCAACTCCTCGAGTGACGGATGGCATTTCAGAAGTGTCAACGGTGACTACACCTGGAGAATCTGGTAATTTTATCTACCAGTGTCATAATTTACAGTAAAGATCATTGGACACTTGAAGCTATTTACACTTCTACAAATACATAGAGCAGTAGAACACTTTTTTCAATGACGAACATTGTTATAGAACTGATAGAAGCATTTGCATATCAAATTAGGTTAGTAAAAGAACATGCCCTGTATCCATATGCTCCACTAGCCTTTCTTGTTACATTTTTACCTAACCTCAAAAGCAGATTTAAACATTTTGTGCTTTTTTCGACTGCTGAAGTTGCAAAAATAAGCTTTTACTGCAGTCGGATAGGAAAAAAAAATAACGAAGATTTGTTCTTTTTTGCCCATTTATGACGGTGCTGCTTCTAACTATTGATAACCTCACCAAATCAGAGAATAATGAAGATGAAGGTGAAGATATACCCGAAGAAGAAGCTGTTTGTCGAATTTGCCTTGTTGAACTATGTGAAGGTGGAGAGACGCTTAAGATGGAATGTAGCTGCAAAGGTGAACTTGCTTTGGCTCATCAAGAATGTGCCATAAAATGGTTTAGCATCAAAGGTAACAAGACGTGTGATGTTTGCAAGCAAGAAGTTCGAAATCTACCTGTCACACTTCTGCGTATTCAAAGTACTATAAACCGCAATACTGGAGCAACTAGTTTTCGACATATGGAAATCAACGGATACAGGCAAGTGCATGTTTTATTATTATTCCGAGTGTGAATTTTATCAGAAATTCTCTTGCAGTTAACCGGTCTCACTTTGCTCCTTGACCTTTTTTCCTAGCAAATTCAAGAACTCAAACATGTTATGCCCCTTAGCAATTAAATAAGGACAGTATATAAATAGACTGTTGGCTGAAGCATTTTTTTCTTTGTGGAACAGAGTTTGGCAAGAAGTGCCCATTCTTGTCATTGTCGGTATGCTGGCCTACTTCTGCTTTCTTGAGCAGCTCCTGGTAAGATTAACTGCTTTTTCCGTTAGATATAGATCTGCGAGTTGGTTTTTCATTTATGATTTAGTCTACTTGCAGGTTAATAGAATGGGTACAGGTGCAATTGCCATATCACTTCCTTTTTCTTGTGTACTCGGTCTTCTCTCATCTATGACCTCTTCAACTATGGGTATGTGCAAATTTTAGTTCCGAATGGAATAACAGATATGGTTAATTGTCTTAAAGAATTCATTATGAATTTGTCATGCCAAAGTAAAATTTTCTATATTAGAACTTGAAGTAAAATTTTCTATATTAGAACTTGTTTCTGTTCATGATTATTTCAAACTTTTTTCTTTATAAATGTAGTGAAGAGAAGATTCGTCTGGGTATATGCTTCAATTCAGTTCGCACTCGTGGTTCTCTTTGCTCATATCTTTTACTCCTTGGTAAGGATCAATACTTGTTAAAGCGCAGAAAACTTTCTCGTTTAATCAACTTTTAAGAATGTATTATATTTTGCAACTTGTAGGTTCATGTGCAACCAGTTCTATCAATTCTTCTCTCAACATTTGCGGGTTTTGGTGTAGCAATGAGTGGAAGTTCTATTCTCGTTGAGTTCCTGAGATGGAGAAGGCGACGTGCTGCTACAAATCAGAATCAAATGAGTAACCAAGTCGTGTTAAATTAGAAAAGGTGGCCTCAAATGAATCAAATTGCTGCGCCATCCTATGCAGATCCTCAGCTTCATCAAACAGGAGAAGTCAAGAAACGTTAGAGGGCAGATGATGATCAGAACCAGATCAAAAGAGACTACAATCTGCAAACTGGAGAGTTATCGTGTTTATAAATACAAAGACGCGGTAGACTTTTCCGTATGTTTGCATATTGTTTGATCTCTTACTAGGTTGAAATGAAAAATAGAGGGAATATAAAGGGAAAAAATCATGCAGAAGTTTCAAATTTTCATGCATGTTAAAGAATGGAAAAGAAGAAGATCGTTATCTGTATTTATTAATCCTACTAGAGATCAATTTTAATTATTGAAAGAAGTCATTTATCATATTAACAATTTGAAAATTATACATAGCCCATGTTTGGTAAGGATTTTAATTTAAATCAAATTCAACAATTAATCTTAATAACACATTTTTTAGACCTACAAATTTTCAATCACATATTTCATCAATTTTTATTAAAAACTACTAAAAATATGATTTTAGTCCCCCTCCAAACTGTTGGAACGTGGAAGCGAAATTAATTAGAAATTAAAATTTTCTTTAATTTAATAAGTAAGATCGTCTAGATATTCATGTGTATTTTATAATAAAATTAAAGGATTCGAATATTTTACCTAATTTCAATGATCAACTTTAAATTTACTTTGATCCGCGAACTTCCGTCTCCTTTAATTGCAAGAATCGTGGTGCTTCAAACTTTCAAGTCTTCTATGGTATTCTCCAACGCAAAGACTACGCCGATGTGCGTGCACCTTCTTTCAATTAATCCAGAAACTAATTCTTGAATTTTTGGACTACAAGAAAAATATATATTTTCTCGCTACAGTTTTGAATCTTATGGAATTATGAATATTGTAGTATTTTTCTATCCATCTAGTATCTATTTATAGAGAAAAAGATAATAGAATTCTAGTACAAATATAATTCCACATTCAAATAAGAGATCTAATTAAAACTCAAATAGGAGTTCTAATTTAAGTCCAATTCTAATTAGTTTACATATAATTGCATGTGTAGTTCTAGAACTTCAATTACAATTACAATTAAGTTTATAACTTTCTTAGTAATTACAATTAAGTATAAAACTTTACTGTAATTACAATTAAGCCCAAACTATTATAATTACCGTAATTAAGTTTTAATACTTTATGGAGCTACCACAGGAACCTGATCGGACATATATTTTTCAAGCTTCAATAATTAGAACCTGTCTAGTCGACCCTAAATCATCCAATCTAATTATTAGTCATTGTTTTTTTCACTAAAGGCAAAAGACTAAACTCTTGGAATATATAAGATCATAGAAACTAATAAATCTCTCATACTTTCCTCTGACCTGTCGTATATGTATTTTATCCCTATCCGAGATCCGATAATTAGGTACGAGCATAAATGACCATTTTGCCCCTCTAATTATTCTCACTAACTTAAGTTTCATTTTCTTCAACGGTCTTATGAACAAATCACAGATGTCGAAGTTTAGCCGTTGCTAAACACTGAGCTCAGATTTTAACTGTTCAACAGAAAATACTCAAGAAGTCACTCTACCCATTTTCAAGGTGACGGTTCCCGATACGAATTTATATTCTCTACTCCGCTCATTCTCAAGTTCCCAACTCATCGAGATATTTGACCAATCAAATTGATCTCATCCATTGATGGATCAAAGAATTATTAAAATTACGAAAGATATACATAATTATGTCAAGGGATTCAGATGAAATACACAGCGGTCAAGTGAAATTTAATTCTCCTCACGGTCATACTATAGAATTAAATTCGACACGTGGTCCGTTCAATATACTCTAAGTGTACTAGTGTCACCTTTAACTATTTATGTGATAAAAGCAAATCACAAACCCGAATGATGAATTGGTCAACACTACAACCTTCCAATATAAGGTGTCAACACTTATACATAGATTGTGAACAAATTATTTATAATCAAAATATAAGTTGTGTCACACTGTACTTCTCAAAGCAAGTACCCAACTCATATTATCACAAGTGATCACATGAACTTTAATTTCGCATGCTTAATAATAAATAAATGCAATAAATAAAGTAAACATAATTATATTCAATATAGAAAATTATTGTTATTTTTATATCAGCAAAACTATACTATATGAGCACACAACCCAACAACTCTCCCACTAGAGTATATGTGTCATGTCTTTTACCCCCGTGCCTTGCACATGTCCATTAAAAACCTTAGCCGATAGACTCTTTGTAAATGGGTCCGCGAGGTTATCCCTAGTAGCAATTTTACTGACAATCACATCTCCTCTATTAACTATCTCTCTCAAGAGATGATATTTCCGTTCAATATGTTTACCCCTTTGATGACCCCTTGGTTCTTTAGTATTTGCCACTGCCCTACTGTTATCATAGTACAGTGTTAGGGGCTATGCAGATGCAGGCACCACCTCAATATCCGTTAGGAATTCTTTGAGCTACACCGCTTCCTTAGCGGTTTCACAAGCTGCCACATACTCAGCCTCTATAGTGGAATCAGTAATACATGATTGATTGATACTTCTCCAAATAATGGCCCCACCACCAAGTGTAAACAATGATCCTGATGTAGACTTGCTAGAGTCCTTGTCGGCCTGGAAGTCTGAATCCGTATAACCCACTGGAACAAGATCTGGTGATGAGTAAACTAGCATGTAATTTCTTGTCCTTCGAAGGTACTTTAGGATATGCTTTACAGCCAACCAGTGTTCCGATCTAGGGTTAGATTGATATCGACTCACCATACCAATAATATAACAAATGTCAGGTCTAATACACAACATAGCATACATGAGACTACCAACTGTCAATGCATAAGGTATCATACTCATGCATTCTATCTCTTCAGGTATCTTAGGGGACTGATTCTTAGAGAGTTGGATTTCATGCCTGAAAGATAAATTACCTTTCTTGGAATCTTGCATGGCAAATCTGACAAGTATTTTATCAATGTATGAAGCTTGGGATAGAGCTATCTACTTGTTCTTTCGATCTCTTAAGATCTGAATACCTAGAACATAGCTAACTTCTCCTAAGTCTTCATGTGAAACTGTTGGGCCAACCATGCTTTCGTAGATGATAATGCTCCAAAATCATTTTCAATAAGTAGAATATCACCCACATATAACACGAGGAAAATTACAAATTTCTCCTATCTCTTCTTATAGACACAGGGTTCGTCAAAGTTCTAATCAAAATCATATGTCTTAATCACTTCGTCGAATCTCTTATTCCAAGATCTTGATGCTTGCTTCAACCCATAAATGGACCGCTGAAGCTTGCAGACTTTATCTTCTTGACCAGGTTCTATGAATCCGTCTGGCTGCACCATATAGATACATTCCTCAAGATGGCCATTCAAAAAGGCTGTCTTGATATCTATTTGCCACACCTCATAATCAAAATGAGCTGCAATGGATAAAAGAATCCGAATAGACTTAAGCATAGCCACAGGCGAAAAGGTCTCCTCGTAATCGATGCCTTTTCGTTGGATGAAACTCTTAGCCACTAGCCTTGCTTTGAAAGTCTCCACTTTCCTGTCTGCTCATCTCTTTCTCTTATAGACCCACTTGCACCCGATGGGTTTTATCCCTTCTGGTGCATCTACAAGTTCCCAGACCTGATTGGAAAGCATAGATTCCATTTTAGCATTCATAGCTTGTTTCCATAAATCTGCATCTACATCACTCATGGCCTCCTTAAATGAAGTCGGGTCATCAACTTGTGTCGTGGAGATTGCCTTATTGGACTCTCCAACTAGCAAGTACCTAGAAGGTGGTCTAATAACCCTCTGACTTTGTCTAAGGGATGGTGGCATCGTTTGGATTTGTAATGTTTGTATCAATGTTGGTATCACCATTAGGCGGTTCCATTACCTCTTCAATACCTTCAACGTTTACTTGATCCATAGGATTGGATGACTCATCTCTCCCACTCAAAACACATTGTTTAGGTATATTTGACACCAAGGGTTTTCTGTTATGATATTATGTTTCAGGAATCGATGAGGTGGAATTGCTCCCACCCATTTCTTCCAACATGACCTTGCTTTTGGACTGACGTTCATTAATATACTTATCCTCTAGGAAAGTGGCATTTGTGCTAACAAAGAATTTCCTATCTAGAGGACTATAAAAATAATATCCCCTGGTACCTTTAGGGTATTTAAAAAACAGGCATATATCTGATCTAGATTCCAACTTCCCTGTCTTCCCTTTCAGCACATGAGCCGGACATCCCCAAATTCGAATATGACGTAAGCTAGGCTTACGCCCATTCCATAATTCTAGGGGAGTTTTGGGAACCGACTTAAAAGGAACTAAGTTAAGAACATATGTTGTTGTTTCCAGTGCATATCCCCAAAATGAGGTAGGTAGAATTGTGAAACTCATCATTGATCTAACCATGTCTAACAATGACCTGTTTCTCCTCTCTGAAAAGCCATTTTGTTGGGGTGTACCTGACGCACTCAGTTGAGAAACAATACCATTTTCTGTCAAGTAGTCCTTGAATTCTCCTGCGAGATATTCGCCACCTCGATCTGATCTAAGTGTCTTAATACTCTTACCCAAATGTTTCTCGACCTCAGCCCGATACTCTTTGAATTTTTCAAAAGCATCTGACTTTCGAGTCATTAGGTAGATGTATCCGAATCTAGAGTAATCATCGGTAAAAGTGATAAAATACTCATAACCCCCTCTCGTAGGTGTATTCATGGGTCCACATACATCAGAATTAACTAGTTCTAATACTTCTTTGACTCTATGTCCTTTTGCTAGAAAGGATCTTTTGGTCATTTTACCCTCCAAACAAGAATCACAAATTGACAATGGTTCGAACTTAAGTGTGTTAAGTGGATCATCTCTAGCCAATCTTTGTATCCTGTTAAGGTTAATATGTCCAAGTCTAAGATGCCATAAATAAGTATCACTAGTATGGTTAGACATTCGTTCGTGGTTTGCAGAAGTAACATTTATTTCATTTGTGGCACAATTTAAAATATAAAAACCATTCACCAAATATCCAGCACAAATAGAAGCTTTATTCTTTAAAATATAAAGCGCATCATGCGCAGAGTTTACAGAATAACCTTGTCCTATTAAACAAGAAACAGAAATCAAATTCTGCTTCATCCGCCGGACATAATAATAGTTTTTAAGAATTAAACGCCTACATCTATTGAAATAAAAGTAAACTACTCCTTCTGCTCTTGCTGAAACTACAGCTCCTGTGCCAATAGTAATTTTAAACTGGCCTTCACCGAGTTTTCTACTCTCCTGAAGCACCTGCATAGACATGCATATATGATTAGTGAATCCAGAGTCTACAACCTAGGAATTTGTAGAATCAACCACCAAACATGACTCAGTAATAAAAAACTCACCAACACCTAGCTTTTTAGCTAGTGCATCAGGGTAATCTTTCTTCCAGTGTCCTTTGCGACCATAGTGGAAACACTTGCCTTTTGACATTCCATCTGATATGGGCTTTTTGTTGCTTCCTGACTTCTTGTTAGATCTCTTCCTCTTCTTTCCAATTCTGCCATTCGGCTTGGAGCCAGAGGAGCTAGCAATTGTCGCATGAGCATGGCCACCCTTACCTTTAAGACCACTTTCCACATTTTGCAACTCATTCATCAACTTAGTTAATGACATATTCATCTTATACAAGTGATAGTCCACAGTAAACTGTGAAAACATATCAGATAAAGAATTTAATACCATATCAACTTGAGTTTCCTAATCAATAGTTGCACCCAGATTCTCCGCCACGTTGAAGTATGCAATCATAGTCAACATATGATCCTTCACAGGCATTCCAGGTTTCATGCGGATGTTCTGTAAGGTACGAATGGCCTCAAAGCGAGTCCTCCTACTTTGATGTCCAAACATGCCCTTCAGGCTTTCTAGTATGTCATAAGAGGTCTCCTGACTTTCAAGCTTTTGCTGTAACACGTTTGACATGGATGCCAAATTGTAACAGCGAGTCATCTTGTCAGCAGCGATCCACTTATCATACGCAGCCCTCTTGGACTTACCTATAGTCTCAGTAGGTTCCTCGAGACATTCTTCTTCGAGCACAAAATCAAGTTTTTCGGCAATAAGCACAAACATCAAATTACGTTTCCAATCCACATAATTATTCCCGACAAGTTGATTTTGTTTTAGAATAACGGAAAAGGCGCTGAGAGACATTTTGCTGAAAAATAACAATTTATTGCATATTAAAATTGAGTAGCAAATGACAATTTAGCATATGATGCATGAATGCATGTGTAGATCTATCTAACTACAATAATGCAACGATAACTTGATCCCTGTGATCCAACATGCCTCTATATGGGAAAGGTATATGTGTCCATTGATCAAGCTGAAACCCTCCCACTAAACGAAATATATCTGACAACAAATGTGTATATTAAGCTTAGCATCGTTTTATTTGGTCACCAAAATTATAAACGAGAGCCTCTATGGGAGGTTCGTAAATAATTTCAATTTGAGTGTACAACCTTCGTCTCAAACTCTAAACACTAGAAAATAATTTCGCTATCTATAAGATGATCACAAATTATATTCTATTTAGACGATTTTATCATAAAGAAATCCAATCAAGCAACTTGAACCACGCGGCCATCCTGTAGGGAGTCCGTTGCATTACTGACACGAGGCAAGCGCGTTACTTTACTTATGGATTGACCAAAGGAGACCGTGAGTTTTTATTTAAAACACCATTTCCCACTCAATATTTTTAAATAGTGGATTTTAACAATTACCAACTGTTCATATTATATTAATATATAGTTTAATTATTACGATTTTTTTTATTCAAAAAAATTTAATTTAAATTAAATTAAACAAAGAAAATTTCGCGTTAAATGATATGCATCCCATTCATAATATCATGAGCGATGTCATAAATAAATATATATGTCATGATATCAAGAATGGCAATATTTCAAACAACAATTTTAAAAACATCCATAAAGGGATAAGATTAACAATTATTTGTGGCCAAAAAGACTCAAGAAATAAATTAAAAAACTAACTGGACACTAATCTAATATTTAATCTAAATTTTCAGCCAAAGATCTTCAAGGATCCAATAATAGCGCTCCAAAAATAGCAAGGAAATCTCTGCCGCTGCACCTGTAATTAATTTCAAAAATCCAATTTTTTCTTTTTAAAAATAATTTACAGATGAATCTGTCTGCACATGTAGATAGAAAGCTGTCTACGCTTGCAGACAGAAAACTGTCTGTGTGGCAAACAGCTTTGTCTGTCGACTGCAGACAATAAACTGTCAGAATCATTTTTTTAAATCTTTGACTTCTTTTGTCCTCCATTTTCAAGCCTTCTTCTTCAATTTTCAATCAACTTACAAGATCCAAAAATTACAAGAATTACATAAATTCCTATGTCCCGTAGGCTCACAAATTTTGAATCTAATTGTACAGAAAATTAAATCAAGATAATGGAGTCGTAATCCACGTATCTTGTTACAGACTCGAAATAACAAATTACATCAAAAACTGACCACAAATAATTGATTCACGGTTTAAAATAATCAAATCATTCAATCAACATTTAAAATTTTCCTAGACATCGCTCGACTAGAACATGCAATCAATAACAAGCATGCGAACGATCTAGATTGCTCTGATACCAGTTGTTGGAATGCGGAAGCGAAATTAATTAAAAATTAAAATTTTCTTTAATTTAATAAGCAAGATCGTCTAGATGTTCACGTGTATGTTATAATAAAATTAAATGATTCGAATATTTTACCTAAGTTCAATGATCAACCTTGAATTAACTCCGATTCGCGAACTTCCGTCTCCTTTAATTGCAAAAATCTTGGTGCTTTAAACCTTCAAATCTTTTATGGTATTCTTCAACGCAAAGACTACGCCGAGGTGTGTGCACCTTCTTTCAATTAATCCAGAAACTAATCCTTGAATTTTTGGACTACAAGAAAAATAATATTTTCTCTCTACAATTTTGAATATTGTGAAATTATGAATGTTGTAGTATTTTTCTATCCATCTAGCATCTATTTATAGAGAAAAAGATTATAGAATTCTAGTACAAATATAATTCCACATTCAAATAAGAGTTCTAATTAAAACTCAAATAGGAGTTCTAATTTAAGTCCAATTATAATTAGTTTACATATAATTGCATGTGTAGTTTTAGAACTTCAATTACAATTACAATTAAGTTTATAACTTTCATAATAATTACAACTAAGTACAAAACGTTACTGTAATTACAATTAAGCATAAAACTATTATAATTACCGTAATTAAATTTCAATACTTTATGGAGCTACCACAGGGACCTGATCGGACATATATTCTCCAAACTTCAATAATTAGATCCTGTCTAATCGACTCTAGACCACCCAATCTAATTATTAGTCCTTACTTTTTTCACTAAAGGCAAAAGACTGAACTTTCGGAATATATAAGATCACAAAAGTCAATAAATTTATAATACTTTCCTCTAATCTGTCGTATATGTATTTTATCCATGTCCGAGATCTGATAATTTGGTACAAACATAAATGATCGTTTTGCCCCTCTAATTATTCTCACTAATTTAAGTTTCATTTTCTTCAACGGTCCTGTGAACAAATCACAGATATCGAAATTTAGCCGTTGCTAAACACTGAGCTCAGATTTTAACCGTTCAACAGAAAATACTAAAAAAGTCACTCTACCCATTTTCAGGGTGACGGTTCCCGACACGAATTCATGTTCTCTCTACTCCGCTCATTCTCAAGTTCCCAACTCATCGAAATATTTGACCAATCAAAATGATCTCTCCCATTGATAAATCAAAGAAATATTAAAATCACGAAAAGATATATATAATTCTGTCAAGGAATTCAAATGAAATACACAGCTGTCAAGTGGAATTTAATTCTCCGCACGATTATGCTATAGAATTAAATTCGACACGTGGTCCGTTCAATACACTCTAAGTGTACTAGTGTCAGCTTTAACTATTTCTGTGATAAAGACAAATTACAAACCCGAATAGTGAATTGGTCAACACTACAAACTTTCAATATAAGGTGCCAACCCTTATACATAGATTGTGAACAAATTATTTATGATCAAAATATAAGTTGTGTCACACTATACTACTCAACGCAAGTACTCAACTCATAATATCACAAGTGATCACATGAACTTTAATTGCGCATGCTCAATAATAAATAAATGCAATAAATAAAGTAAACATAATTATATTCAATATAGAAAATTATTGTTATTTTTACATTAGCAAAATTATACTATATGGGCACACAACCCAAAAAATATGGGCATAATGTTAGCAACTGAATTTATAACAATTTATAAAAAAAAAAAAAAAAAGTCTTTCTTCACTCTTTTTAATAAATTTAAATAAAGAGAAATTAGGATCAGACTCTTCAACTTGTCAAGTAGTGTGATTTTGGATTCCTAAGCTTCAAAAGTGAAGTTCTGAATCCAAAATCTGTTTAATTATTTCAATTTAAGTATTCTACATGATGAAAAATGTCAATGTGAAATTTTAGCGTGACTTGAAATGCTAAACTAAATGTTAAGTAGTTTAAGAATTTTGTTGTCTATCTCTCAGTCACGCAAAAAATCACGTACAATTTTAGTACTTGTTTGATAGAGATTTTGTTAATTTATTTTTTGACTGTTAGAGATAAAGTAGGTACTACTTGTGAGAAAAGAATTAAAAAATGACGGTTGGAATAGTGAAATAACAGTAAAAAAATTGATGTTAATTGGATTAAAATATCTACCAAACATACTCTTAATTTCTACGTTATATCTATCATGTGAGATTTAGGTTACAGTCACGTAAAAAATCACGTACAATTTTAGTACTTGTTTGATAGAGATTTTGTTAATTTATTTTTTGACTGTTAGAGATAAAGTAGGTACTACTTGTGAGAAAAGAATTAAAAAATGACGGTTGGAATAGTGAAATAACAGTAACAAAATTGATGTTAATTGGATTAAAATATCTACCAAACATACTCTTAATTTCTACGTTATATCTATCATGTGAGATTTAGGTTACATTATTTAATTACGTTAGGATCCAAAGTCTTTCATTTTCAAAGATTGAAAATTTAATTAATTTAGCCCTTGTTTGAGCCCATTTTTTATTAAAAAATATATTTTTAAATAGTGATTTTTGAAAAAATGTGTGATTATAAAATTAAAAAATTTATTTATTTGTAATATTATTTTATTAAAGAATATCTAATTCAATACTAAAAAGAGAATAATATATTTTAATAAAAATGGGCTCGAACATAATGTTTTAGGAAGCCTAGCTCTAATATTTCCTCAAATACAAGGCCTTTTCCCACCTTTTCACAATGAGAGGGCTATTTTAACAAATTCGTGAAAAGATATAAATTGGTGTTCAAGAAAAGATCTTTGTCATTCCGCCTTTAGCACCAGCAGTGAGAGAGACAAAAAACGAGAAATTACTGAACAAAGAAGAAAACGAAGAAGAAAGAAATAAGGAAAGAAGATGAAGATTGAAGAAGTCCAATCCACCACTAAGAAACAGAGAATTGCAACTCATACTCATATCAAAGGCCTCGGCCTCGAGGTAACTTGTTCTATTTTTCTACATTTTTTTTTCTGATTCTTGTAGTATATATATTTTGGGTACTTGATTTTTTCTACTCACACATCTTCCATGTTTCGGTTTTTGCCTCTGTTGACAATTTATGTTTTTATAAAGAGTTAATTTTTGTGGGTTTTAAGGGTTTAGGGTTTTGCTGTTTTGTGTTATGCCAGTGATTATAGTTTTGGTTTCATGACTTCTGAAGAAAATGTTATTTGTGAATGGGCCTTGTGTTTCCTTCAACGCTGAAAAATTTATGCCCAAAAATAAAAAAGCAATTTGCCAGAATAAAATTTGTTCTTCTTTGTCTGTTTTTGAGTAAGCATTGCTAAATTCGGAAAATAAATAGATGAGACAGAAGAAGAACTTTATTGAAGTTTAAAGATTCAATCTTTATTGTCTGTATTATATGTACTATTAGAAAGAAGATCGATTATTTCTTTGTTTATTATTGAAATGGTATGTCCAGGGTCTGTTACTGGTCTTTAAATGATTAAGCCAAGATATATATGTAGAATGTCTATTGATTTCACTTTTTTACTGCTGATTCTTGTAGCCTAATGGAAATGCAATACCTCTGGCTGCTGGATTTGTGGGTCAAGCAGCTGCCAGGGAAGCTTCTGGCCTTGTCGTGGATATGATACGGCAAAAGAAGATGGCTGGACGTGCATTATTACTTGCTGGTCCTCCTGGTACTGGAAAAACTGCTCTTGCCCTTGGAATTTCCCAAGAACTTGGTAGCAAGGTTTTGTTAGCATGAATTCTTTCTTGCATTTCAGTCTTCATTGTTGTTATTCGATCTACCTTTATTTTTCTGTTACTAAATTGAGTGTGGTAATGCTTATTAACTGGTACAGTATTCTTCTCTTATCTAAATATATATAGGTTCCTTTCTGCCCAATGGTTGGATCCGAAGTGTATTCGTCTGAAGTAAAGAAGACAGAGGTTCTAATGGAGAATTTTCGACGTGCTATTGGCCTCCGTATTAAGGAGAACAAAGAGGTTTATGAAGGGGAGGCAAGTAACACCTCATCAGGATCTATTTTTGGGTTCTTGTAAATTTTTTGACTTACTTTATCTGCTTCGTTCAGTCTCTTAACTCTTGTCTGCTGCTTATACTTTAGGTGACTGAATTATCTCCAGAAGAATCTGAGAGTGTGACAGGTGGATATGGTAAAAGTATAAGCCATGTTATAATTGGTTTGAAAACTGTTAAAGGTACAAAACAATTGAAGCTGGACCCAACAATATATGATGCCTTGATTAAGGAAAAGGTGAGATCATCAGTAACCTCTTTCATGTTGGGAAAAATTCTCAGGTTTAACCTTATATTGTGTTTCACCTAATGTTACGCTTTAGTTTCTTGTCATTGTGAAGATCCTCTTCCTAAATAAGTTTCCTTATTTACATTGTGAACCATTCTAGAGGATATTGTGTGAATAATTTGTGATCTCTTGATGACTCTTCTTCTTATGTAATTTACTGTTTACATTTCCTAGCCATAGTTTTAATGCTATAAAAACCTCCAGGTAGCAGTTGGTGATGTTATATACATTGAAGCAAATAGTGGAGCAGTTAAAAGGGTGGGAAGGAGTGATGCTTTTGCTACAGAATTTGATCTCGAGGCAGAAGAATATGTTCCACTTCCTAAAGGGGAGGTTCACAAAAAGAAGGAGATAGTCCAGGTGTGTGTCTGTCTTCTGCAATATGGTTTTATTAAATTATTTAGTGCTCATTTGTGCTTTCAAATAGTTGGAAGTTCACACAAAAAGAACTTTGTTAGCATCCCAATACCTCAGTAATGTTTACTTCTAGTTTCAGGTGTTTTGAGCATTGTATTGTATAGGCTTTTTTCTTAAATAATTAATTTCGTCATATGTCATATGTGTGATATTAGTTGAGATTCTGGGTTGCAGGCCTGTGCTTAATTTGATATCTTAAACCTTTTGATTCTAAATAGATCAATTTTTTTTTACCTATCTTGTATGTGCTTCGTGTGCTCCTGCCTTCATCTAGATTTTATAGCAACATATGATTCGATGCATTAGGGTAATTTCTGAAGTTCATGCTTATGTCTTGTGTATTCCTTTTTCCATGTGAAGAAGAATTCTTACAAGTTATCTACTATGGCTTTTGGTGACATAAGACATTAAAGGGCTGAAGTTTATATGTCCTAATGTATTTCCGGGATAGTATGTTGATTATCGTAAAGGCTTTACTACGTGGGTGTGGTTTCATCAAGAGAATAATGCATAGAGGAAGAAGGTAAATGTTTCAATAGTTATTGAACATCCAGTTCTCTTATGTTAATATTGTCGCCTTATCAGGATGTTACATTACATGATCTTGATGCTGCAAATGCTCGACCTCAAGGAGGACAAGATATATTGTCCCTGATGGGTCAGATGATGAAGCCCAGGAAAACAGAAATTACTGACAAGCTAAGGCAAGAAATAAATAAGGTACATATGTCATGTTTCAAGGGAACTCTTGTTATATACTTTCTATGGTTGTGACCTCTTATAGAAGAATCCTGAATCAGGTGTTTATTATGTCATGGAACAACTTCTGGATTATGAGAAATTATATGATTGCAGAATTTTCAGTTCATCGTGCACTTATACAATTAATTGATTGCAGGTTGTTAACCGTTATATAGATGAAGGTGTAGCAGAACTTGTCCCTGGTGTATTATTTATCGATGAGGTATTTTTTTTCTTATAAACCCATTCATTTAGCTTCTTTAATTGTATGCAGATATCTTTCCTTAACATGCTAAGCTTAACATAGGTACATATGCTGGACATGGAGTGCTTTTCATACTTGAATCGTGCTTTAGAGAGTTCCCTATCTCCAATAGTAATTTTTGCAACAAACCGAGGGATTTGTAATGTCAGGTACAGTGATGCACTTTTGCTCTTTGTTTAAATACTTTCTTTGATTATCTTAACAGTTTGAAGCCAAAAGGTGGGCCCAGTTGTTGTACCCTTTTATTTAAGTTTTAAGATGTGGCTCTTAATTCACCTCCACCGCAACCCCAACCCCCACAGCAAACGAAAAATGGAATATGAAGAAGAGAATTAAATAACAATTTCTTAATGTTGGTGTAAAATGTTGAAGAATGCAGTATTAAATCATTATATCTTTAGATTATTTTTCCTTATTTATTTGTTCTAATACTTAATAAGAGAAGTGTATGTTATATCCTATCATATGCAAATGAAGTATGAATCAGTGAAATTTAAGAGGCTCGAATTAGGTATAGAAAAGGAAAATTTGGTCACTGAACAATAACTTTTGGGAAATGCATTGAGTGAGCATTTATAGACTGATTGCTTGTTCTAACAGACTAAGGAATAGTTTTTCGACCAATCCTTAAGAAAATGATTATTGGCCTGTTTGAGCCACATTATTTCAAAAAAATATATTCTTAAACAGTGATTTGACATCATTTCAACCACACATTTTTCAATTAAATAATATTACACGCAGATCAAAAACTTTTCCTTATTTTTTAACCACACATTTCCCATCGATACACTATTCAAGAATGAATTATTACCAAAATAATGTGACTCAAATACCCCCTATATTTGATTCCCCAATTATCGTCCATCACCATCTTTCTCCTTTGTTATCATCCTACACTAGCAATCACTTTCTCCTTCTCCTTCCCCCTTTCCTAATGGCACTAAGGGGTGGGTTTTGAGGCGTTTTATAATAGCCTATTGTGAGGTGGATTTCAAGGCATAAGCATTTTAAATTTAAACAATGGACTAGGAATCTGCCATCATGTTATTTTTGAAACAGATTTTAGTTTGCCTAAGACTCAAGCAACGGTGAAAATCCTGAAGCCTTATGAACTAAAATTACTGCTTACAGATTACGAGAAGTTCCTCCATCCTGAGCTTAAATAAAAGACCAATAAATCTGACTTTCTGCATTCAAACATTGACTAATTTCTGTGATGATTCTATCATTGGACACAGATTCAATTAAAAAACTCGCCTCGGCTTCCAAACTCCAATATTATTGTCTAACCAATTAATAGCTTCTGCATCACTTGTCCTTCTCCTTGAAAAGGGTCTTCTGCTACTGTATTGGACACAAATAGTAACAATCCGTTAGAAAGTGTTTCCACAAAAATGACCACAAGCATGTTTCACAAGGTTTGTAAAGAAAATAATTTTCACTTCTATCAGTCCACACATCGAAAAACAGAACTCCTCCGTTGTTGTGCTTTATACGATATTATAATTACTTCCAGCATCGAAACATCAAATGATTATTGTCTTATTCAGTACTATTCACAGCTTACTCTCTTGGGGAGTGTTTTATCCATAGGGAAACTAGCACTTATTTTGTTTTATAAACTGAGCAACTAAATCCATTTTATACATGTTCATCAATACTAAAGTTTCAATTTTCTGCTTTAAATTTTTATTTATTGATTTTTATTTTTTTGATCGGTTAATGTGAATATATATTGTTCATAAGACAAGTACAACTACATCGGGCATCCCCGAGCAACTTATATTAAAAGATGTATCAATAATTACAAACTAAAGACCAATCGCTAAGTTTCAAACTTAATCGAAACATGATGATACAATGTAAACATTATCTTGTACACGTGTGTTTTGATCCTTTGAATAATGCTATCCACATGCGGTCTTCGATCCTCAATGATTTTCCTGTTCTTAGTTGTCCATATTTGGTAGACGGTACATGCAAGAGCAATCCTCTTTCTGCTTTAATTTTTATACCAAAAATGTGTCCCCTTGTACAGAAACCATTAACCATGCCTAGTGGTTTATAGCGAATTTTATTGATAACTTGCCCCAGTATTTCTCATTCTTTTTTACTTTGCCTTTTCTATAATTTACAGTTTGAAACATACAAAAATAATGGGTGAAAACATGTATATGAAAATACATTCTAAAATCTAGTGAAATTAGAATTGTAGCTTTAACAAAACTATAACGCACAAACGATGTATAATCTAACCTTGTTTGTTGATTCAATAACATTATTGCTTGTCAGAATGATCCAGTGAAAGGTGCTGCAACTGTCTTTTCTGATAAAATTTAATTATTCTAGTTGCATGTATTCGTATAATCTCCTTGGCATTCCCACTTTCCAAACAGTTTCATTTTATCTCTTAAAAAGCTAAAAGGTAAATACATTTCGTTGCAGAGGAACAGACATGAGTAGTCCTCATGGCATACCAGTCGACTTACTAGACCGGTTGGTTATAATAAGAACAGAAACCTATGGTCCTGCTGAAATGATACAGGTGTAGTAAAATTTATTTTATGGCATTAAATACCTCCAAGCCTCTTATCTGCATCTTCTATTCAATAAATGTTTTTGTATATGCGATGGCAGATATTAGCTATCAGAGCACAAGTCGAAGAACTGCAGATCGACGAGGAAAGTCTGGCTTATCTTGGAGAGATTGGACAGCAAGCATCCTTGAGGTTCTACTTCCTTCAAGAAAATATAGATTTATATCCCACTTCTTACGACTCTATTCCATTAATTTAAATCCATATCGTATTTTACATCAGGCATGCCGTCCAGCTGTTATCGCCGGCCAGCATAGTTGCTAAAATGAATGGTCGCGATGATATTTGCAAGGTACTTGGATATAAGTTTGTCGAGGATTCTAATGGGTAGAGTAGTTGCTCAGCTTTTCTGTATCTGTTTTGCAGACGGATCTTGAAGAAGTAGGTACTCTTTATCTGGATGCCAAATCATCTGCTAGGCTCCTTCAAGAGCAACAAGAGAAATACATATCATAGTTCTTGAGTGACGTGTTCCTGGATTTCGACAAGTACTTTTGATCCTTGGATGTTGCAATTTGTAAGAGAATGAAAATTTTGGTCGTCCAATTTAGGATTTAACATGCAAGCATCGGATACTGTCATATTGTCAAAAATCGAACTGTTCTTTTTCTGAGGTTATTTTGATCTCTGTCCAAAACCTATCATATTTCATATTAATTCGTAAAACTTTTGAATAATAAAGGTCTAATGTGAAATTTTATGATAAGTCCGACTCTTTAAGCTTAGCCAAACAGAGTCCAGATGTCTGAAAGATGGCATTGAAGACGATTGAGATAATGGAATTGACGGACGACGCTCTCTTTTATTTCAACCACCCAAATAGACCAATACACCTTTGGAAAATAATTCGAATTATCAACCGAATTAAAGTTGAGATCCTACTGTAATCATCTTCTCCATGAAGGGGATTGGAGAACAAGAATTCAAATTCGCAAAGCGAATCAACATAAAATCACATATTATACCACATATGCAATATACCGTAGAATAATAGTATTTTAACACGTTAAAATTGTCAAAAATCATTTTTATAACATTTATCTTCGTTCTCATTGGCCATTTTTATAATTAATAACGTGGTTGTGAAATATAAGATACTCAATGTGCAGCTGAATTCATGGGCAAAATATAATTTGGATTCGAATTGCACTTTAAAAATCAAAACTTTTAATGTAAAGGAATTTAAATATAAATTCCAAAATATTTCCTCTCAAAACGCCGCCAGTTCAGCCTCTACCAACGACGCCGTTTCAGTGAAGATGCCAAAGCCGGCTCGAGTTCCTACTACAACTGGCTACAGCCTCCTCCTTTGGCACCAACGGCGCCGTTTCAGTGAAGCCAAAGAAGGTTCGAGTTGCTGCTAGAAGTACCACTACCAGAGCTTGAGGATTGTTTCTTTACAAGTTGGATTGTGATTTAAAGGTATGTGAGGATATATTTGGATTTTGTAATCATCCGAAAGAAATTTTTGTTAGAAATTTGGTATATTTTGTTTGACAATCCAAAAATCGAAAAGAACAAGAAAAAAATAAGCATTAATTACGTCTTCGATTTAAAAAGGAATTGTAAATCAAACAAATCATTCACCTCCTGCAACAAATCTAACAATGCATCTATGAAAATTAATATCAAATAATCAAACAAAATGACAGTGTGAGACAGTGTGTAGTAGTAGCAGTAAACATTGTGCAGATACAGAGATAGAAATCTCTAATGTGTGTCTACAGTAATTCTCTTCTCGCGTCGTAGCCATACATCGACCGGCGAATATTCTGTTGACGTTTCTTGTATACAATTGTGCCGACACCCAAAACGCATGCAAAAGCAATTACTCCAAGTGCAACCCCGGCCTTCTGCCCCATTTTCATCCCGCCAGAGGACTCCTCCGACTTTATGTTACCGAAATTGGCTTGGTTCGCATGGTTCACATCGCTCGCAATCTCCGGAGCTGGAACCGGTGAAGGAGACGAAGACTTCTCGGGAGAAGAATTTTCTGCCGCCGGAGATAGTGCAGGAGAGGAATCTGACGGCGGAGGTGCCGGAGGAGAAGAATCCGGGAGTGATGGGGAGGTCAACGGACTAGCAGGAGAAGGAGAATATTCCGGCGGATCTACGGCGACTACTAATTGTACAGTGAAAATGACAGCGAAGACGAGAGTTAGAGATAGAATGTGAATGTGGTTTTTGTATGAAGCGGCCATTAGGACGAATGACTGAAAGATCCAAAACAAAATCGAAGAGAATTAAAGGAAGTTATTCACAAAAATTGAAAGAATTTGTAGAGATCCGGGGAGTACAATGGCGATTGTGTGTGTGTGTGAGTGAGAGAGAGAGAGAGGTAAGAAACGGAGGGGACTTGATTTACTTGCTTAAGATACAAAGTGGATTCCATTAATTCATTTCTTAAGGAATTCCAGTTTGGGTGTTACCTTATTTGCCCCCATTCTCTTTCATTTCTTTTTTCTTCTCTTATTTTTAACTACATAATATTTAAACAAATAATATTATACGTAAATAAAAAAAATTCATTTTTTTTCAATCACACATTCTTCGAAAAAATATTATTCCAAACATTAAAATTTGAAGAAAAAAATGAGTGCCAAATGGGTAAAGATTAAAATCCAAATTTTAATTTAAATCAAAGTCAACATTGAATTTTGACCATATATTTTATGGGCTTACAACTTTTATTAAAATATACTGAAAATTTTGATTTTAATCCCCACCAAAATATTAATTTAATTTAATTTTTATGTATGGTTGGTTGGAGAAATAAAAATAAATTCTTATTTGGTGGAGATTAAAATTATATTTTTAATAAAATTGATGAAATGTATGGTTAAAAAATTATATATCTTAGTAAATAGGTGATTGAAACTTGATTTATATTAACATCTTGATTTTAATCTATCAAGTAATTGGTTGAAAATAATATGACTAATTAATTATAGTTTTCTTTCGATTTGTTGTTGTTTGACTTATGAATTAATTGTGTCGGTGTTGAATTGGATTGTATTGTAGCACTACTACTTCACATGCTGTGGACTCTTTCATGTTGCTTGGCCTGCACATGTGGAGTCCTTGTCAATAGTACATTGTACACTACAAAAAATATAAGCCATTAAGATTCAGTGGAAGCAATAAAATTGAAGACTGCAATAATTTATTTTTTTTTTTTTTAAATTTAGTATATGCTTACATTTTACGGAAATGGGAGACACGAATTGTTGTTTGAATTATTAAGCATTGAATTTTTTTTTTTAAAAAAAATAACTGCATAGTACCATAAATATGAAAACTGGTCAAGCAATCTCTCTCTATCTTTCCTCCAACAAAAATAATTTGAAAACTTTAATTGAGACTTTTAATGAATTTTTGGAATTTAAAAAATTTAAGAGCATTTAAAGTAGACTTTTTGAGGCTCTATAAAAATATTGATGTATTTAATTACTCTCTCCATTTCAATTATATAGGCTTAGTTTTCTTTTTTTTTCTTGTCCAAAATATATAGGCTCGTTTCTTAATTTAGAATATTTTGTTTTGTTCCTTTACTAATATACCTTTATTCAATTTTCTCCACTTAATATACCAACTTCTTGAAATCATTCAAATACACATTTTCTACTTTTTGAAAACATGAAACAACTTTCATTTCTTTTTCTTCAAACTAAATTATTCAAATTCTTTACTAATTGCAAAAATAATTTACTATTACATACTTAAAATCAAATAGAGGTAAACTAGGAAATATTTTGACAAAAAATAATTTTTCAATGGCATTAAAGAAGATTTTTTAATATGTGTGAAAAATAAAATAAGCCTATATAGTAGGGACGAAGGAAGTAAGATTTTTATAGATTTTTAAAAAATTTCTAAAAGTTTCGGTGTATTCAATTGAGACTTTTATAAATTTTTAAAAAGTCTCTAAAAATTACAGTGTATTCAATCTATAAGTTTTGAGCTATTCAAATTTTAAGAAGGTATATTCAAGTGAGACTTTTAATAATTTTTTGGGATTTAAAATGTGTAGGAGCATTCAATTTAAACTTTTGAGACTCTCTAAAAGTATTTATATATTCAATTGAGACTTTTATAAACTTTTAAAAGGTCTCTAAAAGTCACGATATATTCAATGAGACTTTTATCGACTTCTTTAAAAGTTACAGTGTATTCAATTAAAACTTTTTAAAAATCTATATAAGTCTTGGAGTATTCAAATTTTAATTACTTATAGAGATTTTTATAAAAGTATCTGGAATACTAACTTTTAAGTAGGAAGTATTCATATAAAATCTCAAAATTTGTCTCTCATTAATCACGAGATTTTGAAAAACTTTCACCAAAAAAATTGTTTTTTCTTTGTTCAATCTTTCTTTCATTTTTCCTTCTACGAATATTCGAGGTATGATTAAAATTTATTTTTTTCTATTGATTATTTTTATTTCCATTTATCTTTCTCGCTCTCTTATTGTTTATCTCTATTTTCTATGAAAAAATTAAATTCGACTCTTGTAACTTTTTTTTTCTTTTTTTATTCATTTTTTGTGAAAATTATATTTTTTATAAAGTTATAAAATTTTATATGAAAATGTATAATTAAGTTTAAATATATCGATTTTTATTTATTTTTAAAATTATATTATATTAATAATATTGAATATTAAATTTATTGTTCATATGTGTGTGTGTGTGTGTAATTTTGATTATTATTTATTTAATTAAGGTCTTAAATTTTTATTCTTTTCTAAAATAAATTTTTATTATATGAAGAGGTGAAGGGGAGGGGGAGGTATTATTATAAATGACCTGCTACTATTCATTTTTGATAAAATGTCTATTATACCCTTAATGAAATAATTTATCATATATTTATCGATTTTTATTTATTTTTAAAATTATATTATATTAATAATATTGAATATTAAATTTATTGTTCATATGTGTGTGTGTGTGTGTAATTTTGATTATTATTTATTTAATTAAGGTCTTAAATTTTTATTCTTTTCTAAAATAAATTTTTATTATATGAAGAGGTGAAGGGGAGGGGGAGGTATTATTATAAATGACCTGCTACTATTCATTTTTGATAAAATGTCTATTATACCCTTAATGAAATAATTTATCATATATTGCACAAGATATCCTTAATTTATTGGGATAGTTTTAAATTCCTCTATTTCTCTCATTTCGAGTTTTAATATATAATTTCATCCTTTGATCTAATAAATTAGCATAATCTGTAATATAATTGTCATGTAATTTACTAAGATTATCAAATTCCTTCGATAATATATCCATAATCTCTAATTGGGAATAAATATTTTCTATTTTTTCCATTAATCTATCTAACAGATTATCTAATCCTTTAATTGTATAACCTGGCATTATTCAAATAATTCCTTGCAAACTTTATGAATAATAACATATTTAGATAAGTTTTTTGCAAACATGAACAATAATAATCCCTACAATTCTTTCAAGATATTAGAAGAATTCTTTCTAAATTTAACAAAGACAATAATTTTACCTTACTTTTGATCTTAAATCTGTATTCTTAGAACCGAGTGACCTTCAGGCTCTGAATCTGCAAACTGCTCCCTTAA